AAAGCACAAGTCTTCATCTGGATGTAGTCTGGTGCCCAGAGAGTGGCGCTGGTGAGGTTCCGTCTTCCCACATCCCAGGGGCTAGAAATGTCTGACTCATCTTTTTCCCCCAACAGCAGCCCACCCAGCGCTTATTATTTTCCCGCTTTCATGCATTATGATTTATATACCATAAATTCGCCTATTTGAAGTGTATAGTTTGAGTTTTAATCAATTTATACAATCATAGGCCATAATTTTAGAACACTCCCGTCATGCCCTGTGCTTCTTAGAAGCGCTTTCCCCATGCTTCTTAGCAGTTGTCCTTGTTCCAATCTCCGTACCCAGGCAACCACTGATGTACTTTCCACTGTTATACTTTTATTTTTTCTAGAAGTTTCATATTAAGGAATCATATGCCATTTTCAATTTCCACTATTTTTATTTGGGACGATTCCCACTACAAATTATAAATCATGAAAGGGATTCATGTTGGTAATGAAATAGCTACAAAATGGTAATTTATGGTATTTATGTTGCATACAAAATTGATAACCAATGAACTGTGTCTTAAAAATTAGCCTGCATTTGTCAGTGCTGAATACTATTCTATTCGAAGGGTAAGTCGCATTGGGTTTAACCAGCTTGCTGATGGTGAATATTTAGTTTGTTTCTAGATTGTTTTTATAAATAATGCTTCTGTGTACATTTGCATACAAATCTTTGTGTATACAATAGTTTTCGTTTATTTTGGATAGTTGCCTGAGAGAGGAATTGTGGGGCCATGTGGTAAAGGTATGGTCTTTATGGATTTGAAGTACGTAAGCAGGGATTAACCTCTCAGAGACTGAAAGGAAGCCCTGAGGGAACAGGATGCGTGATTATGGGCACATGGCAGGTTCTAGGAAAAAAGTGAAGTGTACTGAGAAGAAAGGTAAAAGGGCATTACAGGACAAACAACATCTACTTCATAGTTTGAACTTCAGTATTCAAGAAGCCAAAACATTTTATCTGATGGAAAACTGTCTCAATCCATTATAATTGTAGAAATTCACATTGACCATGGCATTCAGTGTTAGGCATATGTGGGTGGACAAATACAGGATCAGTGCCTCTATAAAGCCACCTGAATCTGAGCATGGTCTACATGGTTGTCCACTTTTAGGGAGCACATTAAGTTAAATCATAACAAGAAATTTGCTTTTAGCAGAAAAATTCCACTTAAAAGAGTCAGTTGGAATTTCTACTCTGTTCAACCTACCATTACATAGTTTATATTTGTTCTCTATCTGGTTTTTGCAGAGGCCATTGTGAATTGTAGTGTCACCCTGTAATATGAAATTTTACCAGTAAGGTTTTGGGGCTAGAGATTATGAGGGAGTACAAAGAACTTGGTGACAATAGGAATCACTATTATATAGATCCACATACACCCACAAGTTAAATTTTGTCCTCTTAAAATTGATCTTAGTACTAATGTACAACAAAGAACTCCGTTCTTTTTCCCAGCAAAAATTAAAAAAAAAAAGTTTGAGAATTCTGGTTATTCATTTTTTAGTTCTCAAGTATGCAAGCAGAATTTGTGTTTGAGCCATTGACAGAAAGTTTATCCACTTCATTTTCTCCCATTGAAAAGATCACACCTCTATTAGCCCCAGGGATTTGAGCATCGGCTCCCATGAGTTCAGCAGATCTGGCTTACCAGGAAAAGTCATGCTCTCTGGAACAACTAGATTCTTTGTATAGAAAAAATTGGGAGTGTGGACCCCAAATAGTAGCATCAGTATCACCTGGGCACTTGCTAGCCGTCCAGTGGTCAGAACCCACCCCATCCCTATCAGATTAGAAACTCCGGAGGTGAGACCCAGCAATCTGTCTTTTCATAAGTCTTTTTTTTTAGATTTTATTTATTTATACGAGAGCTGGGGTACAGGTCAGAGGTGTGGGAGGGTGAGAGGATTCACCAGAGACAGAGCGGGGAGCAGAACGGGCAAACGAACCGAAAGCACTGCTGAGGGGAACATCAGGGGAGACAGGAGAGGTCTGCTGCGCCATGAGGGTATCTCCCTGGCAGGCCAGGAATCGAACAATGCTGCAGAGGCTGCTCAACCCGCTGCACCACCGGGGAGGGCCTGTCTTTTGATAAGTCTTCCTGGTGATTCTGACACAAGCCAAAATTTGACAACCACAGTCCTATTCAACTGATGCCTGAGAACCTTCCAGCCAAATTAGCAACTATTTTCTAATTCCTTTCAGCACCCTGAGATTTAAGAGTGTTTGATAACACTAACTGAATTGGACTGATCCAGGAAACCCAACTTCAGAAAATTGGTGATTTATTTGCTCAATATCCAAAACTTGCTTAGAATTAAAAGGCTACATGAGGAATGTATTTCAATGGCTTAATCTATAATCAAGTAGTTGGTTTTGAAAAAATTGGATGTTTATACTAACCAATTTTGCACTAAAAAAATATAGGATTTCATCATTTTGTCTATGCTAAGTGTCTTACAAGAAACAATTGACTGGACATGGTTATGTTTGTGGGTGAATTATAAAGCAAAGGAAGTAACTATCAAAGCTGATACAGTTCAATTAGCTGTCATGAATTGCTAGATAGTCTGGAAATCTCTTGTTCCTTGGTTAATATTATAGGCAGAAAACCAAAGTCCACGGTACCAAATGAGCAAATAAGACTCATTGTCAGGGACTTAGTGTTTTCAGCTCTTCTTGTCACTGATTTTTTTTTTTTATATTAACCAATTGATTGCAGTCTCTGCAGCATGAGTTCGATCCCCGGCCGGACAGGGAGGTGACCCACATGGTGCAGCAGACCTCTCCTGACTTGCCCACTGCTCCCCTCAGCAGTATATTTCAGTCAGTCTGCCTGTTCTGTTCCCCACTTTGTCTCTGGTGAGTCCTCTCACCCCCCGCATCTCTGGCTTGTACCCCAGCTCTTGTGTGCATAAACAAATAAATCTTTTAAAAAATATATGGACCAATTGAATTTTGGAGATCACCTTCAGGGACAATTAATTGATTTTACTTGTCACTGATTTTTAACCTTTCAGAAGCCAGAGAGAACCTGTGTCCTTGCAGCACTGCTGCTGGATACTCTTGTGAGTTTGCACGAGATAATTTCCCCCTCTGAGCCTCATTTCTGCCTCTGGAAAATTAGAAGATTTTATTTCCTCTTCTCTAAGGTCGTTTCCATCTCAGCTATTCAGGGATTCTAGAGATGCAAGAACACCTCTGCTCCAGTAGCACCCCAAAATCGCTGCTCTCTCCTGACCTCTTGCGACCAGAAAGAAGAGGGAGATAGGCGCGCTGGTGACTGCAGATTGATGAAAGCGGCCTGAGATCTTTGGAATTCTGATAACTTTGGAAATCACACGCAAGGGTTTGTTTTTTACTGAATACCTGCTGTGTGGCCATCAGCCAGGGGAGTAAATTGGGAGATATTGTTTGCTCTTTGCTAAATGAGATGCAGGAATCCTGGAGAGATTTTTTCATCAGCTTTGGGAGAACAAGATATGAACCTTTTAGAGCTGTTTCTGTAGAGCCCATCTTAAAGAGGCAGCCCAGTGCATGAAATTACTTAAGTGTATATATTTAGAAGCTAAGGAATTGGAATCTATCCAAACTCCTCCCCCACCCCCCATCAAAAGCAGGTGTTTAGCTGAGTGATTCCTGTTATAAAGATCATTTCATAAAGGGTGGATTGTAGGTGTAGCTGAAGATGGGCTCAGATTCACCAGAAAATTAACTTAATTCATCCAATTCACATTCCCTATAGGGTGCAACCCACCTTTTTTGCCAGCATAAGGAACGATTTTGCTTTGCTCTTCCTGTGCTAGCCAAATACTTTGCTGTTTATTTTTTTTTCATTGCACTTCCCAGACTAATTCTAATAGGCATATATTTACAAACAGCTTACTACACAAAGTTTCTTCTAGCTTAGGGATTATCCTTTGGATGTAATCATTTCAGAGAATATTTCTTGACAGGTTATATTATTAAATATCTTCAAATGACTGGCTAGTTCCAAACCACACTCCACCACACAGCCACACATTTAAACCACAAACATAACATTTTCTGTACTGAAGGGGTTTTCTTGCAGGTGATGAAGTAATTGTATTAGTTCTCTGCTTCCCTATTTAATGTAAACATGATTTACATACCCTGCATTGCTGGAGTAACCTAAGGCTTTCCCTCATTTGCAAACAGTGATTTTCATTCTTACACCATCCTTTTGTGTCAAGACCTGGCATCAATGTTTTGTACTATTTTGTTTTGGAATCAGTAGGTTCCCTTTAACCCATTGTAAAGAGAGAGCTACTACCCTCAGCAACATTTTAAAAAATATATGGCATTAAAAGAGACAAGCCCCAGTAAAAACTGTTTTTTGGTTTTTTTAGGACATTCAGAGACAAAGCAACTGGTGGTTTGCCTGGTTTTCATCTGTTAAAGGTTTTCCCGTCTTCTGCAGCACAGCCCGTGTAATAGGCACTGAATCTGGAATTACCACGTGTCAGAGCTAGGTGATAAGCCCAGGTTACCTGAATTATTCCTCCTGCAAGTGCCATCAGCCCTGTCAAAGTGTGAAGGATTTGTTGCTTCAGCGCCTCTCTGCTATTAAATTTGGAGGAGTGGGGATTCGAGTTTGTGCTTCAAGGGACACACATATTTTTTATCATGTAAAAGGAAATGTATTAGACCATCTTCTAGTTGCAGAGGAAGAAATGAGTTCTAGATGAAAATTTGACAAAATTACATAAAACTTCGCGGTGGGGTAGGAAAACAGGGAGATGCTAATAAACAGTAAGTATTATTCAGAATATCTGGGTAGTCATAAGATTCCCCAACAGGGAAGAACAAGCAACTGCAGAGCATTTCCTGGACCCCCCTCTTTCTGCCATGGAAACGCCAATAAAACTCCTCCACCTCCCACTTTTCAGTGCCAGATCGGTAAGCATTTAGCCAAGCATGCTGGGAGACACAGAACAACTGAAGGAAAGGAGTATCTGGATGTCTTGGATTTGCTTGCCATTCTGCTCTGTTCTACCATCACGTTACCAGACTAGTAGACGTAGGCACTAGACGTGACAATCAACTCCATTTGAACTGAGCTGAAGAAACATTACAGGCATAGTCTTCAGAAGACATGTCTCAGAAACAGCCTCAGTCACCTAATCAGACTTTAATTTCAATCACAAATGACACAGAATCATCGTCAAGCCCTGCCGTTCCTAATGATACCACAAATAAAGGACGGACCGGAGACAACTCTCCAGGAATAGAAGTGCTGTGTGCCATCTACATTACTTATGCTGTGATCATTTCAGTGGGCATCCTTGGAAATGCTATTCTCATCAAAGTATTTTTCAAGACCAAGTCCATGCAAACGGTGCCAAATATTTTCATCACCAGCCTGGCTTTTGGAGATCTTTTACTTCTGCTAACTTGTGTGCCAGTGGATGCCACCCACTACCTTGCAGAAGGATGGCTGTTCGGAAGAATTGGCTGTAAGGTGCTCTCTTTTATCCGGCTCACTTCTGTTGGTGTATCAGTGTTCACGTTAACAATTCTCAGCGCTGACAGGTGGGTTTCTTTTCTCAGTAATATTTGCCATGGTGTGAAATTAGGCTAAAAGAAAGGAAAGCTTGTACTCAGCAATCGCTCGCTACTAATTCTGCTTTTCTCACATTCTGTAGCCTGGATGTGAAATTGGAAAACCGGGAGGGCATTTTAAATTAAAGTTAGTCTAAGAATGTTAAAATTCTAGTATTAGCCTGGGAGCAAGGTTGAAATTGTGTGCTTTAGAGCTAATTTATTCTATCAGATGTGTAATTGTTTGCTTGAAAGAATACTGAATGGTGGGGTTTTTTTCCCCCTAGTTTATTAAGTAAGGCAGATTGTTGCAGGTGTAAAAGAAAAACAATTCATGCTTTATACATTAGTGCAGCCTAGTGGTGCAATATTGTCAATATTAAAACATCGGCATTGGTGTGAAATTGACCACATATGCATTTACTGTCTCCCGGACGAAATATGAAAAGATACATGCATGTAATTTATTTGAAATTCATGAAATTAATTAATGGCAGAAAAACGGAGAGGCTTTCAGTTCCCTGGTAACTCAATGTAATGTCATCACTTAATTGTATTAGTTTTCTCTATAGGCATTCAACGACCTTCTCGTTACCAGAGAAACAAATTAATCCTGGTTGACTTTTAGCACTTACAGATAGTGTGTGTGAGCACCTCTGGCAGGGAAGGTGTTCGGACTCTGTCAGATTTTTTTTCCAATCTGAGTACTTTGCTTTTCCGTGTTCATATTGTAGAATAACTGTGAAGGTATGAAAAAAAGAAAAGAAATTAAGGCTCCGAATGTTAAAAATGGTGCTTTAAAAAGCCGGCAAGCAGCTTGTAAGTAATCAATTCCTGGCAATGCCAGAAGGAATAGCTACTTTAGATTCTGGAATCCAGGAGAAGAAAAAGCTTTGCCTGTATGCTTTATGGATTTTTGCTTTGACTGGTTTGATATTCTATTTGAGAGCAGATTCACTGAAAGGCTATAGATTTTAAGGTGGATTTGTCATAATAAGGAGGCATTTTTGCTGTGGCTCGGGGCTTCTGATTTCACCCTTGACTTACCCTAAATCTACCTACAGATTGGCTTGGGCAACAAATTAGCACTTAGGAACAGGGAAGAAATTAACCCTTTCCTCTTTACTGCATACATTCACTGAAGTCTTTTTTAGGAAGGTTAATAACTGCTCACACAAGAAGAAAGGAAAATCAGGTTAAACCTCAGTCATTTATACAAAAAGGAAGTCTTTTAGAACACTTAAGGTAATACACATGGAGTGAATTGCTCTCAATCACACACAAAATCATGCTGGAGACTATTCTAAACGGAGGATCTACACATAAAACTGTAAAATTGCAAACCCAGAGTATCTCATTTTAGTGACACAGGGGAAAGGCGATTAGCATAAATAAAAAATCCTAGTATGTATTATGTGTATTTGAAACTATAACCTATTCCACTTGGTTAATGTGGACTTGGTTATACACATGGACTCGTAACCTAAGCATAGGAGGTGGAACTGAATGACCACGAAGGTCACTTCTGAATCTGCCATTTGGTATTTGTTTTGACCTTTGCCTATGATTATGTGTTTCTAGGTACAAGGCAGTTGTGAAGCCACTGGAGCGACAGCCCTCCAATGCCATCCTGAAGACCTGTGCCAAAGCTGGTGGTGTCTGGATCGGGTCTATGATTATTGCTCTGCCAGAGGCTATATTTTCAAATGTGTACACTTTTCTAGATCCTAACAAAAATATGACATTTGAAGCCTGTGCCTCTTACCCTGTTTCCGAGAGGCTCCTGCAAGAGATACACTCTCTGCTGTGCTTCTTAGTGTTCTACATTATTCCTCTCACTATTATCTCTGTCTATTATTCTCTGATTGCTAAGACACTTTACAAAAGCACCTTGAACATGCCTACTGAAGAACAAAGCCATGCCCGCAAGCAGGTATGTGTTCACCAGAATTAGTGCAAGAATTTGGATGAGAAATTTCTACTTTGGCCCTTGTGGGCAATAAATAAATAGTAGTTAGAGTATGTTAGTTATGTTCCTGGGCTCTGGAGTCTTTCAGACCCAGGATTTAATATCTCCTCAATCACGTACTAGCTAAGCCTGATTCCTAATCTGTAAAATGAAGACATGTGAAATCTCTAGCATAGTTCCTGGCACACAGCAAACATTCAAGAAAGGGTAGAACTATTATTAGGGAGGGGACAGCTAAAGTTTGGGGGCAATCAAAAGTACTCACCCCATGGAATAGTGTAACAGAATGATAGGGTTTCACAGAGAGCTACACAGACCTGGCAGGAAGCCATAGGTTATTCAGTGCAAACTACATACACATGGTTGAGCAAACTGAGGTCTCAGGGGATAAGGTGCCAGTGCAAGAGAACACAGTGACTCATAGAAGCTTGATTAAGACCTTTGCAAAAGCCAGGTGTCCTCTCCTTACTGAATATGAACAGAATAAAAAGGTTGCTGAAACATTGTTCCATTTGATTAAAACAACACCAGGATTTTGGTCATTTTGGGGTGGGGAGAAATGATTCTATTTCCCTGTAAGTCAGTACCTGGACAATTCAGGGACTTTTGGGGAGCTAAAGTTGCATATCAAATACCCATGCTATCTTTGCTTGGTCTGTGATCACAAGGTCTTCCGTTAACCTGGCTTACTTCTCTTATAGCTAGGTAGGCAGGATTATTTCCCTATATGAAGAATGGCACTTTGGTTTTTATTTCTTTGACTATGTGGTGAGAATGACTGTACATTAAAAACCATTTTGGTACCAACTTGAGAATTTTCTTAAACCCAGAAGAATATTCCAACTTGGTTTCTGCTGAGGACGAAAACTGAAAGCAGTATTGGATGGCATCTACTTTTTCATAAAATTAAAATTTTGAGAATTCTGCAACCCTTCTTGAGATCATCGGACAGCTCCTGGTAAATTCCAGGAGGCGGGAGTCTCTGGATGACACCAAGGCCATGGATTGGGATCAGGAACTTGCTGTGTTCTGTCCACAGCCACAGGCTACCCCCCTCCCAGCCCGTTCAGTTATCCCCCAACACTCAAAGGGACACCAGCCTCTTAGCTGTAAATTTCTCTGTGACTCTAGAGAGCGGTTTTTAAAATCCCTGCCAGCAGAATGATTTTTTTTTGCCGTTTTTTTTTTCTCTCTCCTCCCCCTTCCTCCACCTGCAGATTGAATCCCGGAAGAGAATTGCCAAAACGGTCTTGGTGCTGGTGGCTCTGTTTGCGCTCTGCTGGCTTCCGAATCACCTCCTGTATCTCTACCGCTCCTTCACGTATCAAGCCTACGTAGACTCCTCTGCTGTTCATTTCATGGTCACCATTTTCTCTCGGGTTCTTGCTTTCAGCAATTCCTGTGTAAATCCCTTTGCTCTTTACTGGCTGAGCAAAACCTTCCAGCAGCATTTTAAAGCTCAGTTATTCTGTTGCAAGGCCGAGGTGTCTAATCCTCCTGCTGCTGACACCCCTCTTAACAACCTGGCCGTCATGGGCAGGGTCCCTGGCGCTGGGAGCTCGCAGGTGGCTGAGCTCAGCGTGAGCTTGTTCGCTGGGTGCAATGTGAGGCAGGAAGAGGACAGAGTTTAGCTTTTCGGTTAAAAGTGGGATTCTCCCTCCCGCTGTGTGTGTCTGATTTTGAGCTGTGCATAAGTGTATGATGTCAGAAGTCTTGTTGTTTGTGAATTGTGTTGAAATCTTAGGAGTGGAGGAGTCTTAGAAGTAAAAGACAAACCATGATTCTGTTCAATGTACAAACGTGAATGTTACTGGGCAGTCTCAATAAAATGAAGCTTCAGGGCGCTCTGGAGAGACATGTTGTGTATGTCAGTGGGTCCAAACAGGTGGTTGAGTAGGAGGGAAAGTGAAGTAAACAAGAAGATGCTTGAAATCTGATTTGTTTCCACCACTTCTCTGGTGCTTCTAATTTCTCATATATTCCTGTGATTTGCCTGAAACTGTATCTGCGTTTATTGTGTGGTGTAAATCTAGAGATTATGTTTTTCATATGAAAAGGGGATCAAAGAGAGAGAAAACATTTCTGCAGTTTTCTTGAAAAATAAAGTCCTAAAAAATAAACCTTCACAGAATGACTGTCCCTTTCCACTCATCGCTAATCCATTATAACAAAAGCTGTGCAATTGGCACGAAAATGTTTTAAGGACAGAGAGTATAAAGTATTGAGGAAGGATCCGGGCTAGGGTGCTTGCCTTACTGGGTCAACCCTTACTGGCTTAATGTCGTTCTACTTACAACTGTCTTTGATAATCGGACAAAGTTATCTTTGACAAATATTGTGATGAACATGTCTTATTTGCAGGCAGAATAAGTGGTCACGTTTACGGTATCATTTGAGGGCCCCAGGGAAGTTACCCTTGCTGAAAAATCTGCCAGCCCACTAGTGTCTGAACTTCTTCCTTGAAGGAAATTCCTATCTTTGTGGTCAGCAGTGCCCTCTTCCTGAAGAATGCAGAAATACCACATGAAATCCTTGTCACCTGAGTATGCTCCCGTAGATCACCCCCCTGCTTGGCTTCATTGAACCCAGTGGTGCCTAAGTCCTGTAAGAGTCTCACCTAACTCATCTCTGCCCTTGGAAATCAGATGGAAGGTTCTGATTTTCTATCCTCTGCTTCTACTTGCTAACGCCATAAGCTTGTTAATCGGTGTTGTTCCAAACAATTGTTGTCAATCGATGTGTCAGATTTAGATTTGTGGTCTCAGAAAATGTTTTATTGGAGCAAATTAAAGCCTATGTTTGGTACTATAGATAAATCTGTATTTTCAAAAACTTGATTTTGGTTGTGCTTTTGGTAGTTTTGAGCTTTCTTTAAATGGCTTATGTAGTTGTGAACTTTTGCTAATGATGTGACTCAAAAAGGGGATATAAACACACACACACACACACACACACACACACTCACACAAACACTAGGCTTTACACTGTAAAAGTGGTTTACTTACCGTGGGGGTGCCGATATTGTACTAGTATTGCTTTAATTGGACATTGTAACAAGTGGGGGGTGGGTGGGGCACGGGAAAACAAATAAAAAGAAATAAAATTTTAAATGACTTTGTGTAACTTTGTATTCTGAAAACAATACTCTGACAGAATATAACTGAGAATCCATTTTAATTCCACAATCTAAGTTCAAGTCACAAAACTCCAAAATGTTTTTTTACTATGTTCCTCACTCTAGGTAAAAAATTATCATTTAGAAATAAATGATAAAATTACCAGATTCCAAAAGCCACGAGAACCCTTTAGCAGCTGCTAAAACTAGAGCTCAAAGAACTTTCATTTTCTTCATTCTCAGTCACCCCTACGTGACTTAGGGAGCTGAGCTCACATAATACCCAAAATGGTTTTATAGGGAATTGGGATTCAATGTCCAGGCTTTGATTGTTTTCCCCAGGGCTGGTCTCTTGAACACATTATCCTTCTCAGAGCAAAGCTTACAGTCAGGTCCCAACTCCACGATGTCTTTCGTACTGTCTATTGTAATAGGTGGCAGAAAAGTTACTATGGAGGATTTCCTTTCTTGGGAGATGGTCCTAAATGGGCAGGGAGGTGGGACACATACAACGCAAATTTCACATTCCCAGTTTTGCACGGGATTGGCCCTCATCCAAGACTCAGAATAGTGGGTTGTAATAATAGACTACAGAGCAGGAAAACACAGTCACAAGCAGGGAGAATCAAAATATCCAGTGGGTAAGTCTTACCAGTGAAGCTGCAAGAGCTACAAGACAGTTACTCCTGGCACATGTGCTAAAGGTAGCCAATCTGGGTTTTGAGAATTTCTGCAGTTTGAACCATTTTAGCTCAGGGAACCATAAATTTTTTTGTCAGTAGTTACTTTTCCTTCCACTCAGTGTTGAGGTGACAGGAAATTGGGACACAGAGAGCTTGAGTGGAATAGTTTTTAAATCTCTACTTTGCAATTAAAATTAGTTTGGGGGTACAATCAAGTAAAATCACTGCCCAAAATAACAATATGTTAAAATATGGAACAATAACTGGTGGAGCAACAGGGGGGGAGGGGTTCAAGCTTTAAAACATTAGGAATATGAACCAGAAGTTCTTAGTAGAAACAAAAATAAAAATGACCTTAGCATATACTTTTGCTTGGAATTAATTTTTTAAAAACCTAGTAAGGTATAGTTCAGTCCTGAGAGAGTTCCTAGGCCAGGAAGGTGACCTCTGGCTAAGTGCTCTCCATTTTTGCATGTTGATACATATCTATCCCTGAAGGCCACAGTCCACTAGGCTCAAAGTACAGCACAAACCAACCCTTCCAGAGATCAAGGAGAAAAGATGAAGAAAGTTCAAAGAGAAGCTTCTGTCTGGGTTCTGTAACTGGTTCCTCTTCTTGGGTCGAGCAGCCCCTTACCTGGTCCATCTACATTAGGGCCCAGAATTTCAGGAGCTACCCACTATCTTTATATAGCTACCCACAATCTTTGTTGCCCCATACCGTCAGTATTTCTGTGACTTGCAAAAAACCTTGAAAAAGGTAGGTTCCAAAGGCAGAGATGCTTCCAGACTACCTGTTATTAGGTAGTTCATTCTGTGAACACTCAGGGAGACAACAACAGGAACCAGGTCTCGGTGGCAACATTGGCGTTATTTAAACCGCTCAGGTCTCACAGCCCAGTGGCATGACACTAGGGGTACATGGGTGCTTAGCTTCCAACTTCACAGTTCCACCGTCACAGTGAGTGACTCAGTGAGCCTCCGCAGATGCTTGGGCTCCTCTTAGCCTGGGGAACTTCTCCACAGCAAGCTTCTGCTCTGTTTATTACCTTTCCCGTGCAGGCCTCCCTACTTCTGTGCTATTCTGACCAGGTCGGCTGTTGCCCTCTCACACTCCCTAGGAGAGGCTCTTATTATTGGTTCAGTGAGTGACATTCATTTTAGAACGCTGGGCTTGTACTTCCCTTGTGGTGCAGTGGGTTGAGCACAGCGCTGTGAAGCTGTCCACAGCCTCTGCAGTGTGGGTTCTATTTCCAGCCAGCCAGGAAGATTCCCACATGGCGTGGCAGACCTCTCCACTCTCGCCCACTGCTCCCCACAGCTATGCTTTTGGTCTGTCTGCCTGTTCTGCTCCCCGCTCTGTCTCTGGTGAATCCTCTCACCCTCCCATGCCTCTGACCTGTACCCCAGTTCTTGTATAAAAATAAATAAATCTTAAAAAAAAATTTTAAAAAGAATGTTGGGCTGGTCTCACAGGCCTCTGGGCAGGCCTTGAGCCAGGGGAACCTTTTGGTCACCTCCTGAGAGGAGTTGTGGAAACATCACTCTGTCACATGGAGTAGGCCTGTGAAGCGTAGTATCACCTATGTTGAGAACCCGCTCAGGAATGAAATGGGAGCCCAATACCACATTGCAGAAAACAGCTGTATGCTATTTTTGGTTTCAGGAAGAAATGCTTAGCAATGTTTAAATGAGCCTAATAGAACTCCTGTTGCCTATATCATAAACATGCCTCCCAGTTCAGTTCTCCACAAGTTTCCACTAGAACCAGAACGTCATGAGAGAGAAATGCAATAGAAAAAAAAAAATCCAAGCTACTGGTTAAAAATCGCTGTTATGTTTGAAACCAGACCCATACTCAATGGCTATGTTTAGATGCAAAAGTCAGGGGAATAGGAGAAAGAATTTCTTCTGGGAGCATTACCCCACTCACATCTAGGTTGTGGTATTTATGTTTATATATAATGGGTTTCTTGCTGCCACTTTTAAATGAACTAATATTTTTAGTATTTTTTTTTTCTTTCTTTTTTTTTTTTTTAATAGAGGCATGTTTTATTTATTTATTTGTTTGTTTGTTTTGTTTATACATGCACTGGGTACAGTCAGAAGCGCGGGAGGGCGAGAGAATTCACCAGAGTCAGAGCGGGGAGCAGAGCAGGCAGAAGGACCGAAGTACACTGCTGAGGGGAGCAGCGGGCGGCAGGAGAGGTTTGCGCGCCATGTGGGACCCTCCTCCGGTGGCCAGGGAGCAGCCGGGGAGCGAACCGGCGTTGCAGAGGCTGCGGGCAGCTTTGCAACCCAGCGCTCAACTGCTGCGCCACCGGGGAGGCCCTGAACTAATATTTTTAAACGGCTGTTTAATACAAAACAGTGCAACAAATATTGATAAATATAATCCCCATAAAGAAAATCCTCTCCGAGACATCCCCTGCTCATGGATTGGAAGAATTAACATTATCAGAATGGTCATCCTACCAAAAGCAATTTACAGAGTCAATGCTATGCCAATAAAAATTTCAATGACATTCTTCAAAGAAATGATGAAATTCATATGGAGGCACCAAAAACCCAGAATAGCCAAAGTGCTCCTGAAAAAAAAAAAAAAAAAGGGAATGGAGGTATCACATGCCCAGACTTCAAACTACACTACAAAGCCATAATAATCAAAACTGCATGGTATTGGAACAAGAACAGACACAAGGGCCTATGGAACCAAATAGAAAATCCAGAAATAAACCCACAGATTTATGGTCAACTAATCTTTGAAAAAGGAGCAAAGAATATGCAATGGAGCAAAGAAAGTTTGTTCAATAAATGGTGCTGGGAAAAGTGGGTCACTACATGCAAAAGAATGAAGCTTGACTACTACCTCACACCATGCACAAAAACCAACTCAAAATGGATTAAAGAACTAGACATAAGACCTGAAACCATAAAATATATAGAAGGAAATTAGGCGAAACACTACATGACATACATCTCAGTAACATCTTTAAAGACACATCACCCAAAGCAGTGATAGTGAAGGCAAAGATAAACAGCTAGGACGACATCAAATTAAAGAGCTTCTGGGGCCTCCCCAGTGGTGCAGCGGGTTGGGCTCCACGCTGTGAAGCTGTCCGCAGCCTCTGCACGCGGGTTCGATTCCCAGCCGTCCAGCGAGAAACCCACATGGCGTGGCAGACCCCTCCTGCCTCCCCTGCTGCTCCCCTCAGCAGTGTCTTTGGTCTGTCTGCCTGTTCTGCTCCCTGCTCTGTCTCTGGTGAATTCTCTCACCCTCCTGCACCTCTGACTGTACCCCAGTTCTTGTATGAATAAATAAAAAATCTTTAAAAAAATATAGAGAGCTTCTATATAGCAAAAGAGACAGTAACCAAAACAAAGAGACACCCCACTGATTGGGAGAAAATTTTTGCACACAACACTAATGATAAAGGACTGATCACAAAAATCTACAAGGAGCTGAAGAGACTCGACAAAAACAAAGTGAGTAACCCAGTCAAAAAATGGGCAGAAGAGCTAAAAAGAAACTTTTCCAAAGAGGAAATGCAAATGGCCAACAGGCATATGAAAAAATGATCAGCATCACTTATAATCAGGGAAATGCAAATCAAAACTACAATGAGATACCGTCTTACTCTAGTGAGAATGGCACATATGAAAAAAACTAGCAACAGCAAATGTTGGCCAGGATGTGAAGAAAAAAGGAACTCTCCTGCACTGCTGGTGGGAGTGCAAACTGGTCCAACCACTATGGAAAGCTGTGTGGAGATTCCTTAACCTGTTAAAGATGGAGCTTCCATATGATCCAGCAATTCCACTCCTAGGTATTTACCCAAAGGACACAAAATCATTAATTCAAAAGGGGACCTGCATCCCTATGTTTATAGCAGCACTATTTACAATAGCTAAGCTATGGGAACAACCCAAATGCCCCAAAATAGATGACTGAATCAAGAAGATGTGGTACATATGCACAATGGACTATTACTCAGCAATCAAAAAAGATAAACTCCTGCAATTTGCAGCAACATGGATGGAGCTGGAAGGGATCATGCTCAGTGAAATAAGCCAGAAAGAAAAAGAAAAATACCGGACGGTCTCACTCATAGCAGGAATTTAGAAAACCTAAATAAGGGACCAGGAAAAAGACTAATTACGATAAAGTATAAAGTAAAAATCAAAATCAACATGCAACTATAAACCAGAGACACACGGGGGGGGGGAGGGTGTACACTGAAATCAAGGGTGGGGTGGGAATTGTATGGGGATGATAACCAAGATGAAAATGTATACATTGTGCAAAAATGAAAAATTATGTAAAAAATATGTAAAATTAAAAAAATTATAAAAAAAGAAAACCCTTTCCGGTCTTCAATCATTTGTAAGTGCAAAAGGGTCCTGAGTGCTATTCTCATTTCCCCACCGTTCGAGCGCATCTCTGCGGAGTTGTGCTGTGGTGTGGACTGCTTTGTCGCCAGCGCCTAGCACAGTGCCTGGCACTCGGTGGGTGCTCAATAAATTTCTGCCCAATTGCTGTTCATTTTCAGCAATGGGTGTAATCTGGGGCGGGGGAGGGGGGGTCGGCGTGTACTGCCCATTTGGAGGGAAAGCTGTGTTCTTCTAAAAGAAAGATTTTTAAAAAACGAAGCCATTCCGTGATAAAAGCTGGTGTTAACACGTGTAAGTTTCAGGTTGGGAGCTTGAGCACCTCTGAGTCCCTCAGTACAAGCAGGCCCCGAACTGCGGCCCAGCGTCCCTTTCCCCACAGGCCACCCCCTGCTGGAGAAAGGTACCCGGAGAGCAAGGCGGGGGCTGAGGCCTGGGAAAAAGGTTGGTCCTTCGACCCGTCCTTCGAGCGTTCGCTCTGTGGCTCATACATGCATCACTCATTCCCGCACTCATGCAGCACGCACTAGGTGCCAGACCCAGTGCTGGGCGCCGCGCCGAACGCCGGCCGGCGCGAATCGAAGGAAAATGCGAAGGGCACAAGAAAAAGACGCGTTTCCCACGCGAAGGAGGGGCCGGGCGGGGGCGGCGCGTCTCCTCTGCCCGCGGACCCAGGCAGGCGCGCCCGCCCACTCCCAAGATGGCGCCGCCTCGCCTCCCGGCCAGGGGGCCTTCGAGCGGCCTCCGGGGCTAGCCGCGGAGCGCCCGGCACCCGCCGGGGCCCAGGCTTCGCGGCGGCCCCGCGCCCCGCTCGAGGCGGAGGGGAGTCGGCGCGTCGTCGCGGCCTGTCCCCTGGCGCCCCGCCCCCGGGCTGTGCGTCGGCCCCGGGTGACGCCATGGTGGGCGTGTCGGCGCGACCCGAGACGTCGCGACGCGCCGACGATGGCGACGGCGTCCGCCTGAGCGGGCCTAGGTTTTGCAGCACTTCCTTGACGTGGCCGCGGGGGCCGCGGTCGCCTCGGAGCCGGTGGGCGGCGGCGGCGGCGGCGGCGGCGCGCGTGCGCTCCCGCCGCGCCCTGGACGCAGCGGCGGCGCCGAGGCCCGGGGACAGGGGACAGCCAGGTGGGCGGCGGCGCGGCCGAGCGGGTGTTGGGTGCGGGGCGGGGGCGGGGGCGGGGGCGGGCGCGAGGCGGGCGGGCGGTCCCGGCTTCCCGGGGGCTGCTGGGGCGCCGCGGGGAGGCGGGCCGCAGGGTGGCGGAGCGCGGGCCGAGCGGCCGTCCGGCTCTTCTCTGTGCTCCCCGCTGGCGTCATCTCGGCCTCTCCGCTCGCCTGCACCCTGCTCCTGGCTTAGGTCGCCAACATGAGTGGCCACAACTTGGAAAGGAACGATGAGTTTGATGAGCAGTTGCGATTGCAAGAATTGTACGGAGACCCCAAGGACGGTGACATCCAGAAGGAGCCCGGCGGTGAAAACGATACCTTCGGCCAGCCGCCGGCGGACACCCCCTACGAGTGGGACCTGGACAAGAAGGCTTGGTTCCCCAAGGTAAGAGAGTGGCCTGGGCGTCTATGCGCAGCGGGGCCCGCCTGGCCGGCCTCGAGGGGCGCTCCTGGCCCCTTTTCCTTTTGCGGAGCTCCTGGGTTAGAGACCTCAGGGATAGTGACGTTTCTTTTTGTTGTGTCTGTGGCAGACGTGTAAAGGAACCTGGATCTTCAGAGATGTCTGAAATGCGTTTTATTCTTAAGCCTCTTAAGTGCCTAATTCACTCTGAAGGTCACAGTTGGCTGTTATATTGGTGACTGCTTTTTATGGCAAAGAGGAAAAACACCACAAGCAAATTTAGTAGCTCGTGATCGCAGGTAGCCAACCTCACTGATCCTAGGTACTATGTGAAAAAAATGCATCTTCTTGACTCAAGAGAAGGAAAGTAGCCATTTATATACCTTCATGGGTTGAGTTTTTGTCCCTTTCGACTCTTTTGCTAAATGTTGCCTCTAGGCCTGTATGTCTGAAACATGTGCCACAGGATATGACCAAAGGTGCAAAGATGACGGATGGTAAAGATCTGTGTATTGGTTAAAGGACTTGGGGATTGTTATGTATTTTGAGTCAGCTTGTAAGTAAAATAGCTGGTGTTAAACTTGGTTGTGTAAACTTTTTGGTAAAAGTTTCATGGGCCTCATAGGGGTGGGAAAAAAAAAAGAATAACCAATATAAACCACTTTGTTTCCATTGTGTAGTTGACTTGTCATTTTAAAAATATTTATTTCCACTTTTTTTTTCTTTCCTATTCTGTGTATATTTTCCATTCCTTCCAAATTGTTAGGTTTAGTGTTTCCCTTTTGTACAGGTAATGCCAACTAGAGTACAGATGTGGTTTCATCAGACTTCTGAGGATTTTTACAATAGTCAGATAGTGGATTAATTTCTGACTCTCTTTGATGTTATGGAAGCCCATATCTCTTGAAACTTAGAGTTTCAAAAATTCCCCATCTCTACCTATCTCCAACTTTGATTGGCATGAAGATATAACTACATTTCTTTCATTGTGCAATTGTGCCTTTTGTTCCCCTTGAAAACCATGAGGATTTCTTCTTAATATGTTCTAACACTAAATGACTATGTGATTAAATTAGTGAGTTCAGTATTTAATGTTATAATTGTTAGCCTCATTCTTTATACACCAAATTGGAGTACTATTCTGTGTGTTCTCTGCATGGATATTTAAGTATTTAGTGTGCATAACCTTTTGTGCATCTAGATGGTAAAAAAAAATGGATTCTGTTGTTAGATTATATTAGTTGACTATTGGCTCATATTCTGTTTCATTGTTATCCAGTACTTCATTGTTATTTGTGCTTGTAGCCCTAGTCAAGGAGACTGTAGCGAGGTAGTAATTTATAAATGAAACAACTAGAAAAGGTGCCAACATCACTAACAGCCTGAAGGGTCTCTGACCTTTGTATTCATAATCCAAATACCTATGTATTACTTTTTATCATTTTACACATAGTTTCCCATGGCAGGTATTCTTTCATTTACATTGTAATCACATGTGTCATCTACAGAAACATTTCTATGTTGTTTATCTGAATCTGCTGTAGTTTAACACAGTATAAGTTCTTTATGGGGGGGGGTCATTTTTTAATGACCACATATGTGTATGCTGAAATTTTTTAGATCACTGAAGATTTCATCGCTACGTATCAGGCCAATTATGGCTTTTCTAGTGATGGTGCATCCAGCTCTACTGCAAGTGTGCAAGATGTGAATGCTAGGACTGTAGAGCAACCTCCACAAAGAAAAACCCCTGAACCCAGTGATCCCAAGAAGAGGGGAGAAAAGAGAAAGACTGAGTCAGGCAAGTGGATCTAACCAGCAAAACATGAACATAAAAATTAAAGTGTGTGTGTACGTACAGTCCCCTTTGGAGGCTTATAATAGCTTTGAGGGAATTGTAAAATGAGGGCTTTTTTATTTGGGTTAGTATGTTGTTTCTTGCACTAAGTTTTGCCCATTGTGTAGTTGACTTGTCATTTTAAAAATATTTATTTCCACTTTTTTTCTTTCCTATTCTGTGTATATTTTCCATTCCTTCCAAATTGTTAGGTTTAGTGTTTCCCTTTTGTACAGGTAATGCCAACTAGAGTACAGATGTGGTTTCATCAGGCTTCTGAGGATTTTTACAATAGTCAGATAGTGGATTAATTTCTGACTCTCTTTGATGTTATGGAAGCCCATATCTCTTGAAACTTAGAGTTTCAAAAATTCCCCATCTCTACCTATCTCCAACTTTGATTGGCATGAAGATATAACTACATTTCTTTCATTGTGCAATTGTGCCTTTTGTTCCCCTTGAAAACTGCCTCAGTCTCCCCCTTTGCAAAATAGAACTATTAATAAGGAGTTTTCTAAAGTTCTGTTTATACCTTTTGGGCCAGATTTGCTTTGGCTTGGCCATGTTTGACACAGTAGATTGGAGTCAGAAGCAACTTATGGCAGAGTCCAAAGTCAGTGCAGGATGAATTTTTTAAGGTAGCATCAGAATCATAAAGAACCATGGTAAATTAGCCATCTTTTTTTCAGACAGAGCTCTGAAACTAGTTATCAAAAGATCCAAATACTTTAAAAACTGGACAGTGATTTGAGTTAGCTTGTCTCGTTTCTAAGGGTGAGAGAAAACTTCTGGAAGTTTTGAGAAACTGCCACATTAAGATTTCATAATATAACTCTTCTTGCTTGTGCTTTATTGATTGATTTAATTTGTTTTGACTTGTAGGATGGTTTCATGTTGAAGAAGACAGAAATACGAATGTATATGTGTCTGGTATGTATATTTTTAAAAACAAATTTGGAGTCCATGGGAATACGTTTCATGTCAGAGAATGCACAGATTCAAGCTTCCTTCTTATATAAAAAATCCCCACTTCCCCCCCCCCCCAATAAAACAAATTTGGAGTAGAAAATACTCGGTTAGAGAAATTTTTTACAAAGTGGATTTTAGTTTTCAATGTCTCTAAAGTCTTTATCGTTGTGTCATTTTTTTTTTTTTGCTTAGCTCTTTACATACATAAAGAATGTTATTACAAAATGAAGAGGAATTTAGTATGTGAAATTTTGCATGCCATTCTTTTTGTGTGCTTTAGATAACTTACAGAACTTTTCCCTTTCAGATTCAGTAACACAAATCTTAAGCAAGCATATTTTAATATATAATCTCTTTGTTGTAGAATATCTATGTCAATTTTTCCCCCTAATATTACAGGTTTGCCTCCAGACATCACAGTGGATGAATTTATACAGCTCATGTCCAAGTTTGGCATCATTATGAGAGATCCTCAAACAGAAGAATTTAAGGTCAAGCTTTACAAAGATAATCAAGGAAATCTTAAAGGCGATGGGCTATGCTGTTATTTGAAGGTTAGTTACATGATCAGATAATTTGCTCAGATCTCCATTTTTAACCCAGGAACCAGAACTGTAATTTTGTATAGGTGAAAATCAAAACCAAGAACTATTCAGAACAGTGTATGAAGAGAACAGAAATTTCAGTTTGTGCCTTTGTTTTTCACACAGATAAGGCATTTGATGATCTTTGTATGAAAAAAATATGTTGTCAAGTCAAACTTCTTGTGTATTAAAAGGATTCTTCCTGCAAAGACCTCTAGGAATTTTCACATATAATCAACTCAGAATCAATTCAGGTTTTAAAAATTCCCAAAGAAAAGAAGCCAATAACATTTCATTTGCCCATTGAAGTGAATTAAACTATGGTTCAGCAAACTCCAGCCTGCTACCTGTCTTTGCAAATAAAGTTTTATTGGAACACAACCACACTGGTTGATTTACACATTTATCTAATGACTGCTTTCAAATTTCAGCATCAGGGTTGCATGGTTGCAGCACAGACCGTGTGGCCCACAAAGCTTTAATATATTTAGTAACTAGTAGTTTACAAAAGAAGTTTTCTGACTCCTGAATTAGACCATAAAGGAAATGATGGCTTATGCCCACCGTTCTGAAATAGTTTTTTTTTTTTTTTTTAAAGATTTATTTATTTATTTATACAAGCACTGGGTATAGTCAGAAGCACAGGAAGATGAAAGAATTCACCAGAGCCAGAGCAGGGAGCAGAACAGGCAGATGGACGGATGAGGGGAGCAGCGGGTGGCAGGAGAAGTCTGCGCGCCATGTGGGACCCTCACCCGGTGGCCAGGGATTGAACCGGCGCTGCAGAGGCTGCGGGCAGTTTCGCAACCCAGCGCTCAACTGCTGTGCCACCGGCGAGGCCCTCTGAAATAGTTTTTGAATGGAAGAAAAGAAAATGGTAGTAACAAATTTGCAGAACTCTCTGTGATACTAGAAGTTGACGCAGGGAGAGCACAGTGTGAAAGTCGCCATCATTTCTGGAACAGCTATCACCTTAGGAGCTTGTGTTTCACATTATCGCAGGGTACAAAAGAAATGGGCCTGATGGTGACATAGACATTTGTCATAGGAGCTGAAGATGGCTGCAAAGTAAAATCAAAGTGATACAACAGTATAAACACCAGGCGTATGTTGTGAGTCTCCAGCATTCTAATGGGACTGGAAGGGGGTGGCATTAAACTCACAGCTTTTTGGGAGATGGGCTTTGGACCTGGTTCTTGAATATGATGGGGATGATGGGACATGAGGATGACCATTGTAGGAAAGGAGTTATGTAATTTTTACGGGGAAGGAATTTTTGGAATTTTACAAGTGCTTCAAAGATTATTAAAAGTCTAGGAACAGATTCCTAAGGGGTTTGATTGGATTTTAATTTTTTTTAAGAAAAAGTGGTTTGGGAAAACTATATGTACAATTTATGGCCCACATTGGCAAACCAGTCACTTGAGTTCCAGAAGAATATAGTTAATTGCTCCAGGATCTGTGTGTGTTTGTAGCTGAGTTGAATTGTCCTTCTCTGATCTCAGCTTCTCATGTCTTCAACTTTGTGTAAGGCTGACAGCTACTCTCTTTCTATAGGCCCCAGAATCCACAAATGTCTTTCATATACAGGCCATTGGATAATCATCTTTTACTTCTCAGTCTATTACAGACCTACATTTCAGTTGGTGAACAAAAATGTTAAAGGCTGACTATACTATTCCCAGGTTCCTTTAGTCCTCTAGTCTTTTGAGTGTTAGAAGAATTTTAAAACTTGGAATGCACCATAGAACTCATGCAAGTCCTTTTGCCTCATTCTGCAAATGAGAAAATGACAGTCCACGAGGCAATACTGCTTTTCCAGTAATGAGTGTTCATTGAGCATCTATCATCTGCCAATCACTGAGAACCTTTATATACAGTATTTCACTTAATTTTGTCAAGAGCCCACCAATGAAGGCATTACTATTCCCTTTTACAGGTGAAGAAATTGAGGCTCGGGGAGCTTAAATAACTTGCCCAAGTTCACATAGCTAGTTGGGGACATCTATGTCTTCAGGACAGGTTTTGTGATACACATTCTAGAGTTCTTTATCTCAAAATAGGTAGTTATCAAGTCTTAATTGCAGGTATAGTCATTATTCATCTGAAACAACTGAAGTTTTATTTTACTGTGTAATTTGCTGGCTATTCCTTGTTTTACCTTTATAAAGAGGGAATCTGTGGACCTCGCATTGAAACTCTTGGATGAAGATGAAATTAGAGGCTACAAATTACATGTCGAGGTTGCAAAGTTTCAACTGAAGGGGGAATATGACGCCTCAAAGAAGAAGAAGAAGTGCAAAGACTACAAGAAGAAATTGTCTCTGCAGCAAAAGTTTGTGGTTTTTTTTCCTTTTTAAAAGAGCCACCTAGTTTTGTTCCATTGAGTATGCCTACAAATTATTTTTAAAGAATTTCATTCGATCATCAGGAACCTTTTGTACATACGTTGGGATGATTTGACAGTGGTGATTTTCATTTTCTGGGATGTTTATTTAATGGGGTTCAAATAAGGTAAAAGAGCCATCTCTTCAGAAAAATGTTGAACACCAGATTAAATAAGATAGATCAGGCTAGTGTACCAAAGTTCATTTTTGATGTGGATTGAACCTCAGCTACATCTGGGACTTGAATTCTTGTGTACAAGTTTGTTAGTAGAAATTAGATATGATAGGTTTATCATATTTGCTGTATATGATGTCATCAGGTTTACATTTGGTTAGTATACTTTTTGAAATATACTAGTTTTAAGAAATGTAGTAAGTGCTTTTGTTATTGTTGGAGTGAATTCTAATGGCACCTCTAACACTATGCATAAGCCAATGAGCGAATGACCTAACAGCAGGTAGTTGTAACTCAACAGCTTTTACAGGAATAGGTGACATAGATACCTACATATTGTACAAGTAACAGTAAAATTTAAGATTGTAACAGTGAACAGTTTCACATGTTTCAATGCAGTTTGTTCTTTATAAAGTACCTAAAAACCAATATATAGCTTGAATAGTTTTTAGTCCTTAAGGTACAAGTACTAACTAAGCAGCAATTTCCAGGACTCTCATTGGAATATTTGTAATCAAGCAGCAGTTCTGGAAAAAAAAATTCTGGGAATTTCAGATACTGCATCCTTCTCTTATCTGCCCATTATTTTTATTTCGGAAAGTTCTCTGAATGGAACAGTGACTAATACACATTGTTTTGGAATCAAATATCATAATTGAATTCTCAATAAAGGATTATATTCATTTTCCCCCTCTCTCCAACAAGTAGGAAATGAAATTCACAATTTCTTTTTTTTGTTGTTGCTTTAGGCAGTTGGATTGGAGACCTGAGAAAAAAGCCGGACCATCTCGAATGCGCCATGAGCGAGTTGTCATCATCAAAAATATGTTTCATCCTATGGATTTTGAGGTAGGAGGAAGTTATTGATAGAAACAGTGACATGCTTGCCTTAAAGAGAGCCCAGGGTCTCCCTGGTGGTGCAGGGGTTAAAGTCTCAATGCTAATGGCGTTACTCATGGAAGAACAGCTCTTTATTCTCTGTTGTATTAATGAAAGTTAATGATAACAAGTAACACACATGAAAGAAAGTGGAAAATTCCAGATTTACAAATGATCTTGTTGCAACCCAACCCACTCTTGTGTATTTGAACAGTCAGCTGGCAATACTTAGCCCCCTTAGAGGGGCCCCTGAATGGTCTGTTGAGCACCATCCTGGCCAAGAGTGAAGTGTAGGGTTTACCAGGCACCTGTGGGCTCTGTGCATCATTTGCAGTCATCGGGAAGCTATGTGGTCTATTTATAATGTTGTTTGATGTCTCTTTGGACTAGAATCCTGAAGAATCTTGAAATCTAACAGCTGCTTTAGACTTGCAGTGATAATATACTATGTTAAAATAACTCACACATACACATGCACACTAGTTGCTTTTAGAAAAGCTGTTCTTGCCAGGAGGGACTTTGACAGGAATGTGTAGCTGGGTCTGCGAGGTACAACTCTGAAATTTCCTATGACTGATCACGTTTTTGCCTCCTTATAAACGGTTGTGTTTTTTTTTTTTTTTTTTTGGTTAGGTAACCTATTGATTTCTGTGACTTGAGGTCGCTGATTCATACATTCCGTACTCCTAATGCTTGAAATTTAATTCAGACTATGAATCCTCTACAAGTAGAAGTCATTGTGTACTGACATCTGCTTTTGTTTCTGCCTCCTGTCTTGCCTGTTGAGACACCTAATTTGAGTCTAGCTGTCAACCTGGAGAGACTTATTTTTTCCTGACTTAACAAATATTCTTTCCTTCAAAAAGCCAACAAGGCCTCTACCTTGTTCACTGTTAGCATTCCCAGTATTTGGATTGTGACTGGCACACAGTAGGCCCTCAGTATGTATCTATTAATAGGCCCTTAGCATTTGTATGAAGAAAAGGTGAGAAAAAGATGGAATGAATCCCCTGTTACTCATTCACCCAGTGGATAAAATATTTTCTTTTTGGCATCTTTGCAGATGACGTTTTCTTTTCAGATGCTCTGCCATGATACCTGGAGGTTTTGATGTAGAAATAAAGAAGATGATTCTTCCTTCCAGGGTAGAATTATGCTTAAATTTAAGATGTGTTAAATAATTTGAAAGACTTTTGTGTTTTTAATAAAATTCTGCTTTCCCTTGGCAAATAATAGAAGTGTCAGAATTAGTTTATCAAGCTCTGAAAAAAAATTTTGTTGGCTGTTCACTATGTGTAAAAGACTGCCTTGTGCTGAGGTGTTCAGAACTCAGTAAAACAGTCTGTCTCCAGAAAGCACAGTAATGGGAGCTGATCATGCACATCCCTCCGCCTCCAAAAGCCCAGGTGTGACTTCACCGAATTACTGTTATGCTCCATTCCCCATTTCTCTCAGGTCTGATCATTTTTTGTGAAACAAATTGGTATCTTCTCCCAAATTAGACAGCAGCAGAAATACAGGGTCCTGCTGGCAATAGTTTTAGAAGTCTCAGATTTGTAGAACTTTTATATTTTTGAGTTTAAATTGCATTTCTTTAGGGCCTCCCTGGTGGCGCAGCGGTTGAGTGCTGGGTTGCGAAGTTGTCCACAGCCTCTGCAGCGCCGGTTCAATCCCCGGCTGCTCCCCGGCCACCAGAGGAGGGTCCCACATGGCGCGCAGACCTCTCCTGCTGCCCGCTGCTCCCCTCAGCAGTGTGCTTCAGTCCTTCTGCCTGCTCTGCTTCCTGCTCTGGCTCTGGTGAATTCTCTCACCCTCCCGTGCTTCTGACTGTACCTAGTGCTTGTATAAATAAATAAATAAATCTTTTTTTTTTAAATTGCATTTCTTTAGCTATCAGTTTAATTCTCACAGGGAGTCTTAAATCCTTTTGTTATTGGCGGGGAGTGTTGCTTGAACTCAAGGCCACTAGCAGTAGCTGTGCTTGAGTGTTCTTAAATAGACTTGTAGTTGCAAGAAAACAGTAGCTGAAAATGTATTTCATTATATGCTAAATAATACTCCTTATTTGTGTGATTCCGTCCAATGTGGTAAGAGATGAGAAGAACATGAATCTGTGTATGGGAGGTTTACCTTGTGAGTTAAAACAGACTCTTGGAAGCACGAGAAATGATCTTAGAACAGTTACTCAACCAAAGGGATCTGTTTCTCCATTACAACATTTCTGTAAATAGGCATCTATGCAAAACACAAAGCAAAGGGTTCTCGTGGCTATTGTGACACCCATGCAGAATGAGGAATTAGCAATCTCTGACTTCGGATATCCATGGCACTTCTGCCTTTCCAATAGCCATTATTTGGGATTTCTATTCCCACTTCCCTTTGTTCTCCTTTGCCACTGCACACCCTATTGCTGCCTACCTGACTCATCCATTTCCTTCCTCTTCAAGCGGGAAGCCCTGTAGTAGCAACAGTCATGGTGATCTGACTTCATTTGATTTTGATTTTTCTTAAATTTTGTAGACTGCAGACAAACCTTTTGTTATTTGTTGGTTTGTCAAAGCTAGAAAATTGATTCTCAGGATTTGTACCCAAAAAAGGGAGGCAAACCTGTTTCAACCATGTGCCTTTTTGCAGGATGATCCATTGGTGCTGAATGAGATCAGAGAAGACCTTCGAGTAGAGTGTGCAAAGTTTGGACAAATTAGGAAGCTCCTTCTCTTTGATGTAAGTTCATGGCTGGGACAAATGATTCCTAAAGCAATGAGACTTCTGGTTTAATAAGTTATTACCAAATGTCAGTATGCCCTCCAATTTCAAATGAATGCTTTATGTAGCTGGTCTGCTATCTGGTGGTAGTCATCCCTTAGCAGTAATTCCATGGACCTTGATTATAAGTCAAGACTCTCCTAGACTTTGTATATGTGATTAATTCTCTTCATCATCAGTTAGGCATAGCTGTTCAAGTGTAAAAAAAAAGTACAAGAAAAATGGATGAAACCTTATGGTTCACTATTGTCCACATTTTCCCTTTGTGAATTATTCTCTTCTGGATTTGGAGAACAATCAGAAGAGTATCCTCCTGTATGTTCCCCTTCTCACTTTTTTTTTACTTCTAAAATGGACACAAATAACTAAAGGCACCATTTATTGAGTGGTTGCTACAAGCTACTTGACAGGTGCTCTCATTTGATCTTCACAGCCCTTTGAGGTAGGTAAGTGCTATTATACCCATTTTGCAGATGAGAAAGCTGAAACTAGAGGTTGGACGCCTGGCCCAAGGTCACTGAACTGGTAAATGGCAGAGCCAGGATTTAATTACAGGGCTATTTGATTTCAGCCTCCTTACTCTTAGCAAGTCTACTTTCTTGCCTTTCATTAGACAGTGTTGTCAGTGGAAGCATTTCCAAGGGCATCGTGTTTGGTTCTTGCTAAACAAGATTCAGCTAAAGAAGCAGCTACAGAAGAAAAGACTTTATACAGAAAATCTTGATGTATAGAACATTTATTGCTTAGCTACTTTGTTAAGCGTGTATGTTTTTTTAAAATCTTGATTTCCTTTCTCCCTCCCTACTTCCTTGATTCCCTCCCTCCATTCCTTACCCTTTCTCTTCCCGCCCCCCCTCTTTATTTTCTTGTGTTTATAGAGACACCCAGATGGAGTGGCCTCTGTGTCCTTTAGGGATCCAGAGGAAGCTGATTATTGCATTCAAACCCTTGATGGAAGGTGGTTTGGTGGCCGTCAAATCACAGCAGAAGCTTGGGATGGGACTACAGATTATCAGGTAAATGCTGTCACTGTCAAGAGCACATAAATTGTTTCATCACAAACAACTACTAATCTTGCAGTCCTTCAGTTAAGTTTTGGGTTCTGTTTAATGTTTAATGTAATAATACTTCTTTTAAATAATACTTTGCACTCATGGGCCTCCCCTGGTGGCGCAGGTGGTTGAGCGTAGCGCTGTGAAGCTGTCCACAGCCTCTGCAGCACCGGTTCGATCCCGGCCAGCCGCTGAGGGTCCCACATGGCGCGGCAGACCTCTCCTGTCTCATCCACTGCTCCCCTCAGCAGTGTATTTCATCAGTCTGCCTGTTCTGTTCTCTGCTCTGTCTCTGGTGAATCCTCTCACCCTCCTGTGCATCCTGTCTGTACCCTGGTTCTTGTATAAATAAATGAATAAATCTTAAAAAAAATAATACTTTGCACTTAGAAGGTAGAGAAAAATATTTCAGTCTTCAATTTGTAAGTCTGCGATTTTGAGGATTGCTGAGAACAGTAATAAGAACTCATTAAACCAAAATATTGCTATTCCTTTCTGCGTTACAAAGTGCAGCCAGAGCTGAAATACCAACTTTTTTTGGAGATTTATTTATTTGTATAAGAACTAGGGTACAGGTCAGAGGTGCGGGGGCGCGGGGGGGGGGTGAGAGGATTCACCAGAGAGAGTGGGGAGCAGAACAGGCAGATCTACTGAAACATACTGCTGAGGGGAGCAGCAGGCGAGGCAGGAGAGGTCTGCTGTGCCATGTGGGTTGCTCCCTGGTTGGGGATCGAACTTGTGCTGCAGTGGGTGGTGATAGCTTGACAGTGCTGTTTTTAACCCCTGCACCACCAGGGAGGCCCCCAACTTTTTTTTTTTTAAAGATTTATTTATACAAGAACCAGGGTACAGGCCAGATGTGCAGGAGGGTGAGAAGATTCACCAGAGACAGAGTGGGGAACAGAGCAGGTGGACTGATGAAATACACTGCTAAGGGGAGCAGCGGGTGAGACAGGAGAGGTCTGTTGTGCTGTGTGGGTTTCTCCCTGGCCGGCTGAGGTTGAACCCACACTGCAGAGGCTACGGACAACTTCACAGTGCGGTGCTCAACCACCTGCACCACGAGGGAGGCCCCTGAACCAACTTTTTAATTCATGAGACATTTCTGTAGTTCTCTGGTGTTTAGCATTAATTGAAGTGATCTCGTTTACAGTTTAACCCTAGTAAATCAAAATGTAAAGTTGAAAACTGAAGCTAGGGAATTGCTTTGATACCTAAGAAGACATGCCTTATGAAATCAGAGTACTTTTGTTGATATTAGAAATACTCAGGGCCTCCCTGGTGGCGCAAGGGGTTAAGCACCACACTATGAAGCAAAATCAGAGTACTTTTGTTGATTTTAGAAATACTCAGGGCCTCCCTGGTGGTGCAAGGGGTTAAGCACCACACTATGAAGAAATCGCAGCCTCTGTGGCACGAGTTCAATCCCTGGCCAGCCAGGGAGCAACCCACATGGCGCAGCAGACCTCTCCTTTCATGCCCGCTGCTCCCCTCAGCCATGTACTTCAGTCAATCTGCCTGTTCTGTTCCCCACTCTGTCTCTGGTGAATCCTCTCACCCCCGCATCTCTGGCCTGTACCCCAGCTCTTGTATGCATAAATAAATAAAATGAAAAAAGAAAGAAATACTCAGACATTGTTACTATTTTTCGTCTCAAACTGATTTTAATGACAGTTTATACTTATGCACAGGTGGAAGAGACCACAAGAGAAAGGGAGGAAAGGCTGAGAGGATGGGAGGCTTTCCTCAATGCTCCTGAAGCCAACAGAGGCCTTCAGCGTTCAAATTCTGTCTGTGCTTCAGAAAGGGCAGGACCTTCCAGAGTGAGGCATTTTTCCGAGCACCCTAGCACATCTAAAGCAAATGCTGAAGAAGCCACAAGTAACATGGCATTTGAAGAACCTATAGAGGAAAAGAAATTTGAAAAAGCAGAAGAAGATGGAGGAGAATTTGAAGAAGATGCAACTGGAAAAAATCCTAAAGAAGATGGCCCTGAAAAGGTGGCTGAAGAAAGCCGCCCCCCAAAAAAATTTGAAGAAAGCTGCCTCCAGAATCAGTCTGAGGCTGGCTGCCTCAAAAGAAAGCATAACGAAGAGTGCCCTGAAAGGGAATCTGGAGAAAGCAGTGTGGGGAAGGAGCTTAAAGAGGGCAATCCTAAAAAGGAAGCTAAGGAGAATGGCCCTGAAAAAGAATCAGGAAAGAAAAGAGTCAAGAATGATTATGAGGAGAATGGCATTGAAAAGGGGTCTGACGAAGATAGCCTTGACAAGGAGGGGAAAGAGGGCAGCCCCTCAAAGGAGTCTGAAGAAGATGCCTCAGAAGGAGAATCTGAAGACTGCTCTGAAAAGCATTTTGAAGGTGGCTCTGAGAAAGAATTTGAAGAGAATGGTCTCGGAAAAGATTTTGATGAAGATGATGCTGACAAGGAGTTTAATGAAAACATTCTCGAAAAAGAGCTCGAAGAAAATGACTCTGCAAGATCAGAATTTGATGACGACAGCTCTGAAAACGTGTTAGATGAAGAAGGCTCTGAGAGAGACTTTGACCAAGAGTCAGATGAAAAGGAAGAAGAGGAGGATGCGTATGAGAAAGTATTCGATGATGAATCTGATGAAAAAGACGGCGAAGAAGATACAGATGAAAAGGAGGAAGATGCAGACGAAAAGCTGTTCGAAGAGTCAGATGAAAAGGAGGATGAAGACGTAGCTGTAAAGGAAGATGAAGACGTCAATGACAAGTTGTACACATTCGAAGATGACGATTCCAGTGAGAAGCTGTTTGGCGACTCTGATGAGAGAGGGAGTGTGGGTGGTGTGGGGGATCCTAAGGAAGATGGCCCTCTGTCCACAGGCAGCAGCTTTGTCCTCAGTAGTGATGACGATGACGATGACGACGACGACGACATTTAATCCCTTCAGCGTGCTTTTTAGGGAGAAGAGTCCTCCATCTACATCTTGCCTGTTTGCCAGGGTAATTGCCAGTAGTGTCACATGAACATGTGCATAGGGGTAGGATGCCATCAGATTAATGTATTGATGTTTTCATTATTACTGTACTTAATGATTTTAAATACATGTTAAGTGGCTGTTCGGTTAAAACTTCATAGTTACAGTGCAAGTAAACTGGAAACATGTCCTTTGTCGGATTTGTTAAATGCATGCAGAATAATATTTTTTAAAAGTATTCTGATTGAAGTTTGTGATATTCAGAAATAAAATTAAGTTGTTAATATGCAGAAACTGAAAAATTGGACTTGAGTTAAATTGCATTTTAAATTGCCGCTATTGCTTTATTCATACTAAAATCTGGTTTTTCTAAGGACTAGAAACATCCCATAGGAGTCTCCTTGCTTCTAGCTTATGTTACCTCTCATGTCCTCATTTCCCTGCTGTAAACCAGGTGTTACTAACCTTGTAAAGTAAATAACACTTTGGAGTTTTTCCTTCGCCAGTCTTTGCAAGTTGCTTTTGTTTTCTGCCCTCTTTCTATGAACATTGACTCTCGGATGTGCAAAAGTGAACTTCCTGCATATATGAAGGAGGACGTTAGAATTGAATCATGTATTGTTTGGGCCCTTTTACAAGTTGATTAAAGTTAAGGGACCTGTCCCCAGAAAACTGTATGCACACACTACACAACTTTTGGTATACAGTTTGGGGAGGGCCTTGGAGCGCCTGGAACTTAAGAACTGCTTTTGTCATGCATACTTCAGTTTTTTGTTCTTGTTCTAGAATCAAGGCACCTAGAACTGTGCTAAGTTGTGTAGTCCCAGTGCAATTCGGGTCTTTCTTGTTTATGCTTTCCAAATTCAGTGTTGATGAATTGACTTCTGATGTAGAATTAAGAAGTTATTCTCATAAATTAGAAGTATTATAAAATAAACTGCAATGATGCTTTTTCATGATACCAGCTGTAAGTGTAATCTTTGCCCTCTCTCAGACAGGAAAGATTTCTCATACTTCAAGCCAGATTTCTGCGGATTCTCTAGTTGATGTCTGGGATTTCTTAAAATCATCAGAATTTCCACCAGGGATCCACCAATAAAAGGAGGTGAAGAAAGTTAAGTACAGAAAAATTGCAAACCAAAATAGTGTTTTCTTTGCAGATAAACTAGGGGCGTTTAAACGCTAAATGTGTTGGAAAATTGGTTTTCTAAACAAAAAACGCATTATCTCCCATACACAGTGGTTGGGACACATGATCACAGTGTAAATTAGCTCTAGAACTGTTAGATGGACGCTGTATTCATTCTAAATTAATTTGGTTGATAGCAAATACTCACCTCTTTTTATATACACACCCTGGAGACGAAAGTCACAAACAGCTGTAAAATAGTAAATAATTTATGAGGTGACACAGAAATAGAGTCATGAATCGCGCACAACACAGTAACCTGTTTACTAAGGAATCGGGTTTCACTGGTCCTCAAAATGGAATTAACTGTGAGTCAACAATACATAATGTTATCAAAGGAGAAACATGGGGGTGAATTTTAAGCACATAATGTTCAACAATTACCTGATAATTTCTAAAGTTAGTGCTTCATAAGACTATATAGTTTTACAAAAATATAAAATAATGTATTCAATCCTGAGTCCATGGAGCAGAAGTGGCCTTGGGATGCCTTTAAGTGGCTTGAATGCCCTAGTCTGAGTCCACAAACTTGAAACTTCACATTAGAAATTAAAGATATTACTGGTCTTCTGCATGATTTCACTCATGCAGTGACTAGAAATAGAATATAAATGGGAAATCAGACAAAATTGAACCCTAGAAATACAACTAGAATTGAGGCTACCAGAGTGGGAGTTGGAGTGGGAGGCTCGAAGAACTGTGGTGGAACTGGGTGCCTTGCTGGTGGTGAGGTACAACATCTAAACAGGTGTGGACCTATACCCTTAATTCATACGCAGTGTTGCAAACCAAAGTTACAATAAAATGTATTTTAAAAAATACTCCTGGCCTTGGCAATATTTAATGAAATATTTGAAATCATTACTTCTTTCTATAAAGAACAAAACCCCAAAGACCTGACAGGGCAAAAGTGAAGTAATTTGTTCCAGGATCTGTTTTTCTTCCCAAATAAATGACACTGGACTCTGTTAAGCCCCAAGTTGCCAAATCTAATCCATTTGGATGCCACCACATTTTCCTTTTTAGAATGGAATCTCTTTTTCTGATCTAAGTTAGTGATTATGAGGCTTGGAGGAAAAGTAGAAGTTAGCTAATTTTCTGAATACACCTTTCTCAAATAATATGAATTTTTTTTTTAAAAAAAGATTTATTTATTTATACAAGCACTGGATACAGTCAGAAGCGTGGGAGGGTGAGAGGATTCACCAGAGCCAGAGCGGGGAACAGCACAGGCAGACTGACGAAATACACTGCTGAGGGGAGCAGCGGGCACGTCAGGAGAGGTCTGTCACACCATGTGGGACCCTCGTCGGTGGCTGGGGATTGAACCGGCGCTGCAGAGGCTGCGGGCAGCTTCGCAGCCCAGGGCTCAACCGCTGCGCCACCAGGGGAGGCCCTGAGTCACTTTTTAAAAGTAAATATTTCAGTGCAGTGCTGAGAAGTGCTCTTAATTGGTTTGAACAAAGCCATGGCTTGGAGGATAGTAGAAGGGTTATAAATTTGCCCTTTGTGAATATTTGTCAATATTCTTCTTTTTTAAAAAGATTTATTTATGCATTTAAGAGGTGGGGTGTAGGTCAGAGGTGTGGGGATTGGGGTGTTGAGAGGATTCACCAGAGACAGGAACAGAACAGGCAGGTCTAATGAAATACACTGCTGAGGGGAGCAGCGGGCTGCACCATGTGGTTAGCTCCCTGGCTGGGGATCGAACTTGTGCTGTAGTGGCTGCTGATAGCTTCATAGTGCTGAGACTTAACCCTTTGCACCACCAGGGAGGCCCTCAATATTCTTTTTTAAGAGAATTTTTTATTGGGGTGACATTGTTTTATTGGGGTGACACATGCTTCAGGTGTGCAGGGGAGAAATCTTAACCAGCACATCTTGATGGTAGAATACCATGGCAAAGCAATCCCTTTTAATATAATTTGTTGTTTTAATATAACATTAATCTTTTTTTAAATTAAAGATTTATTTATTTATTTATACAAGCACTGGGTACAGTCAGAAGCGGGGGAGGGTGAGAGAATTCACCAGAGCCAGAGCGGGGAACAGAGCAGGCAGAAGGACCGAGGTGCACTGCTGAGGGGAGCAGCGGGCGGCAGGAGAGGTCTGCGCGCCATGTGGGACCCTCGCCCAGCAGCCAGGGATCAAACCGGCGCTGCAGAGGCTGCGGGCAGCTTCGCAACCCAGCGCTCAACCACTGCGCCACCGGGGAGGCCCATAACATTAATCTTTTTTTTTTGTTAAAGATTGATTGATTGGGCCTCCCGGTGGCGCAGCGGTTGAGCGCTGGGTTGCGAAGCTGCCCGCGGCCTCTGCGGCGCCGGTTCGATCCCCGGCTGCTCCCCAGCCACCAGAGGAGGGTCCCACATGGCGTGCAGACCTCTCCTGCCGCCCACTGCTCCCTCAGCAGTGTACTTCGGTCCTTCTGCCTGCTCTGCTCCCCGCTCTGGCTCTGGTGGATTCTCTCACCCTCCCACGCTTCTGACTGTACCCAGTGCATGTATAAACAAAACAAAACAAATAAATAAATAAATAAATAAATAAATAAATAAATAAATAAATAAATAAAAGATTGATTGATTGATTGATTGATTGATTTATACATACAAGCACTGGTTCCAGTCAGAAGTGTGGGAGGGTGAGAGAATTCACCAGAGCCAGAGCGGGGAGCAGAGCAGGCAGAAAGACCGAAGGACACTGCTGAGGGGAGCAGCGGGCGGCAGGAGAGGTCTGCGCGCCATGTGGGACCCTCCTCCGGTGGCCGGGGAGCAGCCGGGGATCGAACCAGCACTGCAGAGGCTGCGGGCAGCTTCGCAACCCAGTGCTCAACCGCTGCGCCACCGGGGAGGCCCCAATATTATTCTTTTTAAAAAGGTATTTTGGAGTCATTTCTTATATTTATTTTCTGCACATTAAGCAAAATTTTGAGATAGTATCACATGCAACGCCGTCGACATGAGAACCACTTTTGTTGGTTTTTTTTTTTTTATGTATATACCAAAGTTAAACATTTTTTAACAGAAGAAATTGAAGATTTTTTAAAAATTTTTCAATGCACTATTTTTTAATATTTTATTTTATATATTTTTACCATCATTTTTCATTTTTGTACAATGTATGCATTTCCATCTTGGTTATAGTCCCCATACAATTCCCACCACCTTTATTTTGATTCTACTCCCTTCTCCACCGCCCCCTCAGTGTGTCTCTGGTTTATAGTTGCTTGTTGATTTTGATTTTTACTTTATTGTAATTAGTCTTTTTCCTGGTCCCTTATTTAGGTTTTCTAAATTCCTGCTATGAGTGAGGCCATCTGGTATTTTTCTTTTTCTTTCTGGTTTGTTTCGCTGAGCATGATCCCTTCCAGCTCCATCCATGTTGCTGCAAATTGCATGAGTAATAATCCATTGTGTATATATACGCCAGATCTTCTTGATCCAGTCATCTATTTTGGGGCATTTGGGTTGTTCCCATATCTTAGCTATTGTAAATAGTGCTGCTATAAAATAGGGGTGTAGGTGCCCTTTTGAATTAATGTTTCTATGTCCTTTGGGTAAATACCTAGGAGTGGAATTGCAGGATCGTATAGAAGCTCCATCTTTAGCAGGTTGAGGAATCTCCACATAGCTCTCCATAGTGGTTGGACCAGTTTGCACTCCCACCAGCAGTGCAGGAGAGTTCCTTTTTCTCCACATCCTCGCCAACATTTGTTGTTGCTAGTTTTTTTCATATGTGCCATTCTCACTGGTGTAAGATGATATCTCATGGTAGTTTGGATTTGCTTTTCCCTGATTACAAGTGATGCTGAACATTTTTTCATAAGCCTGTTGGCCATTTGCATTTCCTCTTTGGAGACGTTCCTTTTTATTTTTTTTTTTATAGAGGCATGTTTTATTTATTTGTTTGTTTGTTTTTGTTTATACATGCACTGGGTACAGTCAGAAGCGCGGGAGGGTGAGAGAATTCACCAGAGCCAGAGTGGAGATCAGAGCAGGCAGAAAGACCGAAGCACACTGCTGAGGGGAGCAGCGGGCGGCAGGAGAGGTCTGCATGCCATGTGGGACCCTCCTCCAGTGGCCGGGGAGCAGCCGGGGATCGAACTGGCGCCATGGAGGCCGCGGGCAGCTTCGCAACCCAGTGTTCAACCGCTGCGCCACCGGGGAGACCCTGGAGATGTTCCTTTTTAACTCTTCTGCCCATTTTTTGACTGGGTTATTCACTTTGTTTTTGTTGAGTCTCTTCAGCTCTTTGTAGATTTTTGTGATCAGTCCTTTATCATTAGTGTTGTGTGCAAAAATTTTCTCCCAATCAGTGGGGTGTCTCTTTGTTTTGGTTACTGTCTCTTTTGCTGTACAGAAGCTCTTTAATTTGATGTGGCCCCCGCTGTTTATCTTTGCCTTCACTATCACTGCTTTGGGTGATGTGTGTTTAAAGACGTTACTGAGGTGTATGTCATGTAGTGTTTTGCCTAATTTCCTTCTATGTATTTCATGGTTTCAGGTCTTATTTCTAGTTATTTAATCCATTTTGAGTTGGTTTTTGTGCATGGTGTGAGGTAGTAGTCAAGCTTCATTCTTTTGCATGTAGTGACCCACTTTTCCCAGCACCATTTATTGAACAAACTTTCTTTGCTCCATTGCATATTCTTTGCTCCTTTGTCAAAGATTAGTTGACTATAAATCTGTGGGTTTATTTCTGGATTTTCTATTTGGTTCCATAGGCCCTTGTGTCTGTTCTTGGTCCAATACCATGCAGTTTTGATTATTATGGCTTTGTAGTATAGTTTGAAGTCTGGGAGTGTGATGCCTCCATTCCCTTCTTTTTTTTTTCAGGAGAGCTTTGGCTTTTCTGGGTTTTTGGTGGCTCCATATGAATTTCATCAATATTTGTTTTATTTCTTTGAAGAATGTCATTGAAATTTTTATTGGCATAGCATTGACTCTGTAAATTGCTTTTGGTAGGATGGCCATTTTGATAATGTTAACTCTTCCAATCCATGAGCAGGGGATGTCTTTCCATTTCCTCGTGTCTTCTATTTCTTTTAACAGTGTTTTATAGTTTTCTTCGTATAGGTATAGGTCCTTTACCTCTTTTGTTAGGTTTATTCACAAGTATTTGATTTTTTTTTGTTTCAATAATAAAAGGGATGGTTTTCTTGATTTCTTCTTCAGATTTATTGTTTGTGTATAGGAAGGCTACTGATTTTTGTGTGTTGATTTTGTATCCTGCTACTTTACTAAACTGATTGATTAGTTTGATTAGGGTTTTTTGTGGGTTTTGGGGTTCTCTATGTATATTATCTTATCATCTGCAAATAGTGATAGTTTTACTTCTTCCTTCCCTATTTGGATTCCTTGTATGTCTTTCTCTTGTCTTATTGCTCTGGCTAGGACTTCCAGTATTATATTGAAAAGCAGTGGTGAGAGTGACATCCTTGTCTTGTTCCAGATCTTAACGGAAATGCTTTCAACTTTTCGCCATTGAGAATGATATTGGCTATGGGCTTGTCATATATGGACTTTGTGTTGTTGAGGTATGTTCCTTGTATCCCTAGAATTTCAAGGGCCTTTATCATAAATGAGTGTTGTACTTTGTCAAAAGCTTTCTCAGCATCTATTGATATTATCATAGGTTTTTATATTTCTTTTTGTTAATGTGTTGGATTACATGGATTAATTTTCACATGTTGAACCAGCCTTGTGTTCCTGGAATAAATCTTACTTGGTCGTGGTGAATTATCTTATGGATACATTGTTGGATTCTGTTAGCTAAAATTTTATTGAGGATTTTTGCATC